TATATTTACGCTATATACAATATATATTTATATATATTTTTTTTTACATAGAATTTTTAGTGCAAAAATGAAAATAAGAGGTATAACTTTCAATGGTATTGATCTTGACAAATGTTATCCAGGACATGATCCTGAACAATATTCAAGAGGTTTTAGCTCTTGATCAGACATCTTACGTAATGCTAATGCTGGCGATATTGTAAATTTCAAGCCTTATAACTCGAAAATTATTCCATGAAAAATAACTTTATTATAATGGAAACCTCTCGATATTAAACTCTTCGATCGGCTATTAGATTCTGAAATAAAAAATAGAGTGTTCCATGTTAAAAAATCGATCTTGATCTGACCTTGGCGACGCTACCTAAGGTCAAACTGATAAGATCCTTAGTAAATAGATCCTTTTAAATCCTACAACTTCTATCTGAACACTTTTACAATTGGACCTTATCTTGCGAAGATAAAAGGATAGTACGGATAGTCTGAAACACACATCCGGTATATAGAGTAGGATCGGGTATTATGAGCACCCTTTATATTTCTGTAACGGTTGGTACTAGTAGCGCCAACTATTGTGAAAAGATGTATCTGTCTTCGCGACATTCCAATATGCTATACGTTATTTTATTTCTTATTACATATTCTAGGTACGTTATTTTTTATTTCTTATGTTTTTTCCTCTAACTTCATAAAATCCCCAATCTATATTGAGATAAGATATTTTGTTCTGTATATTAATATTTGTAAAGTAAACAATATTGAGCCATTCTAGCTTCGTAAGAAGATCTCGAGATCATTATTGATTTATTAGACACGAAAGTTTTTTGGATAGTTATGCATGGTCGGGTATTACAAATTCATTATTCCTTATCATATACTGAGAAAAGAGTCTGGCGAAGGATTAACCACTAGGGTAATCAATGAACATTTCTTTAGAAATATATTACAGTAATAAAACAGGCAATGTTAGCAGTAGCAGTACTAGGAATACGCTAAGAATGTGCTAGCAATACATATGTAGTAGTACATAGCAATACATTTGGCAATATTGTTAGCAATAAAGTGTGTTGTGTTGCTATAATTAGCAATCATATTGCAATGTATTATATATTAGTGTATATTTTTTTAGCAGTGGATGACCCTCTTAGAGTTTGGTAATAGCTATTATGTTAAATGTATGGTGAAATAATGCCAAACAAATGTTTCGTTAATATATCCAAAAATAATATTACTTTTACACACAAATATTTAATAAGTATTACCAAACTATAATACTTACTAAATATTTGTAAGTGTAACAT